AAATGGGAGAGTGAGAAGGAGAACAGAATAAGGAGAAAGGGGATGGGAAGGGAACGATAAGAAAGAGAAAGGGCAGCAAGGAGACAGGGTAGGATGGGAGGAGGGAAAAAGAGGAAGAGGGTGGTAATGAAGAAATGAAAGGAGAGTAAAAGGAGGGATAAGGTTTTTTTTTCTCAACCCTTATTTTCACTCCTTATTGGCTCCCCCCCCCCTCCTCTTCTCTTCTACGGATTTCACATTTAAGATAAACTGGAATTTTCTCCCTCCTTCTTCCCCCTCTCCTTCCCCCTGTCGCTATCTATCTATCTAGCTCTCACTCCTCTCTTTCTCTCTCTCTCTCTCTCTCTCTCTCTCTCTCTCTCTCTCTCTCTCTCTCTCTCTCTCTCTCTCTCTCTCTCTCTCTCTCTCTCTCTCTCTCTCTCCCTCTCTCTCTTCTCCCTTTCTCCATTTCCTTCTTCAAGCTTGCTTCCCCCATCCTTCCCTCTCTCTCCTTCCCTTTTCCTGATTTCTTCCTTCCCTTCCCCACGCCTTTCTCCCTTGATTCCTCCTCTCCTTCCTTCCTCTCTCCTTCTTCTCTTCCCGCCTTCCCCCTTCCCTCATTTTTTTACCCCCTTTCCACCTTCCCTCCCCCCCCCTTCTCTCCTCCCCTTCCTCCTTCCTTCTTTCCTTCCCTCGTCACTCACTCCCCTCTTCTCTCTTTCCCCTCTCCCTTTTCCTCTTTCTTCCCCCTTCCTTCACCTTCCCCCTCTTCCCACCTTTCTCTTATTACCTTTCTCCTCTCTCCCCTCCTTCAGATTTCCCCCTTCTCCTCCTTTCCACCTTTCCTGTCTTCCCTCTTTCCTCCCTACCTTCTTTTTTTCCTCCCTTCCATTTTCCCCTTCTTTCCCTTCTTCCCTCTTCCCTTCTTTCTCCCTCCCCTCTTCCTTCATTCCTCCCTTCCATTTCCTCCTTCTCCTTCCTTCCCCTCTTCCATCTTCTGTCTTTCCTCCTCACTTCTTCCCTCTTCTCCCTTCCCTTCTTCCCTCTTTCCTCCCCTCTTCCCTTTTTCCTCCCTCCCCTCTTCTCTCTTTTCTCTCTTCCCTCTTCCCTCCCCTCTTCCCTCTTTCCTCCCTCCCCTCTTCCCTCTTTCCTCCCTCCCCTCTTCCCTCTTTTCTCTCTCCCCCTTCTACCCCTTCTCTCATTCCTCTCCTTCTTCCCTCCTTTCCTTCTTTCCCCTCTTCCCTCTTTTCTCCCTTCAATTTTCCCCTTCTCCTCCTTTCCCCTCTTCCCTCTTTCCTCCCTCCCCTCTTCCCTCTTTTCTCTCTCCCCCTTCTACCCCTTCTCTCATTCCTCTCCTTCTTCCCCCCTTTCCTTCTTTCCCCTCTTCCCTCTTTTTCCCTTCAATTTTCCCCTTCCCTTTCCCTCTTCCCTCTTTCCTCCTCCCCTTCTTCCTCTTCCCTCTTTCCTCCCTCCCCTCTTCCCTCTTTCCTCCCTCCCCTCTTCCTCTTCTTCCCTTCAATTTCCCCTTCTCCTCAATTTCCCCTTCTCCTCCTTTCCCCTCTTCCCTCTTCCCTCTTTCCTCCCTCCCCTCTTCCCTCTTCCCTCTTCCCTCTTCCCTTTCCCTCTTCTTCCCTCCCCTCTTCCCTTTCCCTCTTCCTCTCTTCCCCTCTTTCCTCCCTCCCCTCTTCCCTCTTCCCTCTTCCCTCTTTCCTCCCTCCCCTCTTCCCTCTTCCACAGCCCCGACCACCGTCCAACCGACCGACGAACAGACGCATTCATCGATTCAGAAAATAATTACCTGCTTTACTGTGTGATTTTCCCAATTTATCTCTCAAAACCCATTCCGGGGAGCGCCGACCCCCTCCTCCCCCTCTATCCCCTCTCTCTCTCATTACCCCTTCCCCTCTTCCCTCATCATCTTTCCTCCCCTCTCTTTTTTTTGACGTACCCTCTCCACCTTGTCTTTACTTCTTTATTTTTTTCCTTTTTCTTTCCCCTTTACTCTGCCCTTTAATTTTGTCTTCCCTTCTCTCTCCTTACCCCCCCTACTCTTTCATCTCCATCTCCCCTCTCCCCTTCCTCCATCCTTCCCCCTCCCCTTCTCTCTCCTCTTTCTTCCTTCCCCTCCTCCTTTCCCTTCCCTCTCCTCCCACTTCCTTCTCCTCTTTCCTGCTTCCCCTCCCCTTTCCCCTCCCACTCCTCCCTCTTTCTTCCTTCCCCTCTCCTTTCCCCTCCCTCTCCTCCTCCACTCCTTCCCCTTCTTCCCCCCCCCCTCCTTCCCTCTCCTCCTCCCTCCCCTCCCTTATCCCTGATTCGCTTGTGGATTATCATACAGACGCCATAAGTATGATGAATGGGAACATGCTGTCTGATGTGTGTTTGTGATTAACGCTTCTCTCGATGTCAGTTCATTCAGAAGTTATGGCTGGTGGGTTGTGAAATGGGTTGATGGGTTGGGTTCGTTGTGATGGTTGTTGGGTTGTGATGGGTTGGGTTGTGGGGGGTTGGGATGGTTGGTTGGGTGGGTTGGGTTGTGATGGGTTGGTTGGGGTGGGTTGGGTTGGTGGGTTGGGTGGGGGGTTGGGGGGGTGGATGGTGGGTTGGGTTGGGTTGTGATGGGTTGGGTTGGGGTGGGTTGGTGGGTTGGGTTTGGGTTGTGATGGGTTGGGTTGTGGGTTGGGGTAGGGTGGTTGGTTGGGGGTTGGGTGTGGGGGTTGGATGGGGTTTGGGATGTTGGGTTGTGATTGTTTGGGTTGCGATGGGTTGGGGTGGGTTGGTTGGTGATGGGTGGGTTGTGATGATTGGGGTAGGCTGGTTGTGATGGTTTGGGTAGCGATGGGGTGGCTGAAGTGGCGATGGGACTGTTTGAGGTGGGTTGATCTAAGTTGAGATAGGGTTGTTCTTGAGTGGGTTGGTTGGGCTTAGCTTGGTTTTGGTTAGGTTGTGGTTGGGTTGAGTGGAGTAGGTTGGGATCAAGGTACCTTTACATAGGTATAGGCACCTTGATGAAAATACTAGCTGGCAACTTCTGAGCTAAGCCCCGCCTCATCGACTTGCATATATCGAGAATTAATTTTATCATTTTTTTTCTTGGTTTCCTTTCCGATAATGTTTATGCCATTGTTATTACCGAACCATCCCCCCCCCAAAAAAAAATGTACTGAAAAATATTTACCGTAAAATATCTTACAAATTCTTGGGGTCAAAAAAGGAGGCGGAGCTAATGACGTCACTGTGATTAGCCAATGAGAGTCCGCTGTGAGATGCTAGATATAACTAGATACACAATCATTTACATAATTCACTCGCTCTTATTATAATTACCAGAAGTAAAACCAAAATTCCTCTCTTTTATTTGTGATACCAGAGAGTTCCTTACCATTAACAGCCGTCAGAATACTCCAGAGAAAAAGTTAATTTCTTTTGGGGTTCAATAAGCTAAATCGAAGTGGCGTTACCTGGCTATACGTTCCTTGCTTGGGATGTTGTAAGGTGGGTTCGTGTCAGATTGGGTGGGTTGGTGTTAGGCTCGGATGAGGTGGGGTGGGTTACAGTGAAGTGGTGCATTTGTTATGTTCAGTTTGGTTATATGTGCATACGTATAATAGAATGTGCGAGTGTAAGGTGGACGTGTGTGCATGTGTATGTGTCTGATTGTGTGTGTGTGTGTGTGTGCGCGCATGTGTATGTATCTGATTGTGTGTGTGTGTGTGTGAGCATGTATGTGTGTGCGTGTGTGTGTGTGTGTGTGCGTGTGTGTGTGCGTGTGTGTGTGTGTGTGTGTGTGTGTGTGTGTGTGATGTGTGTGTGTGTGTTTGCATGTGTGCGGGTGCATGTCTGTGTGTGTGTGTGCACGTTGGTATGTGTTATTATGTATATGTGTATGTGATTATGTGTAAATGCGTATGTATATGTGTATACATGTGACTATATGTGAGTGTGTGTATCTGCATGTGTATTTGTGCAAATGTATTGTCCGTGTGTGTACGTGTATTAATTCCGTTTATCTATCTGCCTGTCTACAACGTATAAATATGCGTGCGAATAAGCGCCCCTAAACTTCCACTTTCATATTCCTCCCTTGACTGTGTACATCAACGAGATTGCATATTTGCGTGCACATATTACCAGCTTTGGAACTTTTTCTTCCTTTGTGTGTGTGCAGTGTTGCGTGTGCAGATACGATGTACTGAGAAAAAAAGAAAAAATAATAATGATTTTGAAAAGGAAAAAAGTGAAAAGAAATAATGAAAAGAAAAAAAGAAGTTTGAAAAGAAAAACAAGAAAAAAATGAAAAGAAAAAAAAAATGTACACAAAAACCGGTTTGTTTTAATAAGCAAGAATGATCTTTGAATTTCGATTTTCGCTTTTATTTTATTTTGTCTTTTTTATCAGAGAATAACTTAATGGAGTAAAGAAAATGAAAATAGGCGTTATATTGCGTAGAGAAATGAAAGAGATTTTTAAGGTTTTCAAAATTAATTGCTCAGTCTTTTATATTTTGATCCTATTCTTTTGATTTTGTTAAATGCTAGGCTTTGTAGGTTTTTATTATATGATACAGATTTTTTTTACCATTGTATCTTATTCTTTTTCTCTGAATCTTTACCATTTCATTTCCCACAAAAATCTATTTGTTGTTGTTGTATTTGTCGCTGTTGCTGTTATTGTCATGTGCCATTATTGTTATTATTGCCAGTGTCATTGTCTCTGCCATTCTCCTTCTTTTGGCGGCTTCATTATCACTGACATTATTATTGTTTATTGTTATTATTAATGTCATTGTCATCGCCTTAGTCATTGCCTTTGTCAGTGTTGTAATCGTTGCATTTTTCATTTTTAACCTCATTGCCGTTGCATTTAACATTATTACCATCACTGCCACTCTCATGCCGTCATCATCGTTGTCATTGTCTTTGTCATTTTCCTAGTTATTTCATTCACGTAGGTACTGCTATTGCTAGCATCATCGTCATAGACTGCCATAGCCATTGTTAGTGTCATGATTACCGTCATAGCCATGGCCGTAGTCATTGCCATAACCATTGCTGGTGTCATCATCATCGCCATGGCCACGGTCATAGTCATAGTGATTGCCATAGCCAGTGCCATCATCATCATCAGTGCTACTTTCAATGTCATAGTCATTGTCACGGTCACCGTCATCATCATCATTGCCACTGTCACTCCACAGCCCCTGCCACCGCCCCTGCCACCGCCCCCGTCACAACCCCCCCCCCCGTCACATCCCCTGCCACCGCCCCCGTCACATCCCCTGCCGCCGCCCCTGTCACAGCCACACCGTAAGCGTCGATGTCCTTGTCGATGCTGCAATTTCGCTGGTGTCTTCCTCCCGCTGATCCTCCCTGCGGCATCGCTCGTGGCAATCACCTCACCGAGCCTTGCAATATAACCACCACCTCCATAGCGGCAGCAGTTATAAAGCAGCAGGAGAGGAAGGGCGAGCAGTTAGGGAACCAGAGGCAAAGAGTTTTCCCCTCCTTTTTTTTTTTTTTTTTTTGAGAGGGGAAATAGTGAGAAGAGGGGGATGGGTAGGGGGGGAAAGGGGAGGAGGAGGAGGGGGGAGGGGAAGAGGGGAGGAGGAGGAGGAGGTGGGTGGGGGAAGGGGAAGAGAGGAGGAGGTGATGGGTAGGGGGAGGGGAAGAAGGGAGGAGGAGAATGGGGGAGGGAAGGGGAGAGGAGGGCGATGGGGAAGAGGGAGGAGGAGGATGGGAGGGGAAGAGGGGAGATGGGTGAAAGGAGGGGAGGGGGGAAGAGGGAGCTGGTGGGGGGGAGGGGTCATGCACATGGGTCGTTCCAGCAGCACCCGCAAAATGTAAGGCAGGAGGAGGAACAGCAGTGGAGGGGAAATCCAGAAAACACAACAGCAGAAAAGCAGAGGGAAGAGCAAAAGTAACAGCAGCAGGGACAACAGTTGGAAAAGGCAGAAATAGAAGCAGCAGGTAAAGCAGTGGAGAAAAGCAGAAATAACAGCGGACGAAAATTGAGACCGAAGCAACAACAGCAGGAAAAGCAGCAGTAATAAAGATACAGGGAACAACGGCGGGAAAAGCAGTAGTAACAGCAGTAGCAGAAAACAGCAAAAGGTCAACAGAAACAGCAAAAAGAAACAGTAATAAAAGAACCAGTAGGAACAACAGCATCGGAAGCAGTAAGAGCGAGTGGGCCAGGAACAGCACATGCAGCAGCAACTGCAACAGCAGAAACAGCAGGAAACCGTGAAGCTTCAACGGCAAGAAGAGCAGCAGAAAAGGAAGAGGCACTGGCACGAGCATCGGAAACAGCAAGAACAGTAAGAACAGCTTCAGGAGCCTCAACAGCAACAGCTTAAGGATGAGGAGGAAGGAGCGGGACAACAGTGACAGTAACAGAAGCAGAATAAAAAAAAATAATAATAATAATAATAAAGAAAAAGAGCAGACGAAATAGCAGAAACTGGAACAGTACAGTCTCAGCAGCAACATGTAGAAGTAATACGATATCAACAGAAAAAAGAAGCAGAAACAGCAGACGCATTAACAGCAGAAGCAGCATGAAATTCAGAAAAAAAAATCGGCAACAGCAGCAGGAATGGCAAGAACGTCTTCGGGATCAGCATGGCCTCAACAGCAGCACAAGAAGCAAGTCGCGAGTGCAGCTTAAAAGCACAAGATCAGCAAGAGACGGGAAGAGCAGCAGCAACTGAAACATCGAAAAAGCAACACCGAAAGAAACAGCAAGGGAAGTCTCGAGAACAGGAGAAGCCTCGTCAACAGCAAAAATATCGAAAAAAGCATCAGGAGAAGCCCCACGAACAGCAGCAGAAGCCTCAGCAGCAGCAGAGACATCGAAAAAGCAGCATCCTAATACACAGCAAGAGCAGCCCCGAGAGCAGCAGCAGCAGCAGAAGCCTCAGCAGCAGCAATGGCGCGAGGCGAAGGAGGGGCGAGTGCGGCAAGGAGCGGGGTCAGAGCGCGGTCTAG